GGTCATTTCAACTCATACTCTTGGAGTTTTATCTGGGACTATCTGGGAGTTTTGCTCACAGGTGATTTGACATGCTCCTGGACTTTCTACTGTACTAACCCTGCCAAGTCCAGTCTTACCTTATGCAGTCAGATAAAAGCATGTTGTGAATATCAAAGCTATGATTTTGGGACCACGTTGTCCGAGCAGAAATCCACCACTGGTGTTTATTATTTTCAACTGCTTTAATTGTGTTAGGCTTCTCTGGCAAATTTGTTTTTATCACAGTTATATGAGCTGATAATGATTTGAGCTAATTCATGATAAGTATTAAAACAGTAGGCTTGGATTAAACAGACAATATTTAAACAGCAGGCTTTGTATTGATGATGTTGTCCTCTGGTCTTGAGCAACTTCCCTTCCCTGCTGCTGACACCCCAATCTACAGCAAACCTGTCAATACTTATTTTGAAGTCTGAGAATTATATTTGTATCTGCAGTTAAACGTGTGTGTCTGTATATACTGTATATATACGTGTCTGGGACAGTGTAACACCAGACTGGCGAAGGACAGTAAATATCTGAGTAATACAGTGCAACGTTTTGGCAGGTTGTTAACCTATACTTGCATGATTTTTAGGCTTATAATGATTTTCAATATCAATTACTACATTTTGACATGGACATGAAATGTGTATATAGCACTTTTGGGTCTAAGAAGCCTTGTCACATTGTCAAATCTGCTTTCATATTTACTGATATTTACTGATGGAAGAATAATTGTATTTCTTCATTCTCAACAGTGCTGTCAGTCACCGGCCTTTCCCTGAGTCCCTGAGCTGGGAGGATCATGAGGACCACCTGGACAGTTAATAGTCTGCTGCTTAACCTGCATAAGAGGTCACTCTTAACAGCAGTTTCTTTCATCATTAAGAGGGAGTTATGGCCTACTCTTTCAGGGGATTCTAAAATATCACATTCCTATTATTTTTAACAAATGTTAGTATGAAATAGATTGTTAGGAAAATGATACAGTGATCATTGTATCACCCGATACACATACTCGGTTTTCAGTAACATGGCTCTACCTCTGCAATTACAAGTGTTGAACCTTGAATCTCTCCTGTATTTCAAAGAATCAGTTCACAGGTCAGCTTTTTTTTTTATGAAAAGAGGAAAATGTGAACTCGGTTAGCAAACTAAGAAGTGTTTTCCTTCTGAAATATGGCTTTCTCTAAGTAAAATTTCATTTTCTTCCTTGTGGTAACTATGCTGATCTTATTGGTACTGTACAGATCTCTTGGAGAATCTCTGTGGATTTACATCAGATATATATTTGTCCTAAAATAGTGAACAGTATATATTGTTTAGAGGAAGAGCTTTTGATTTAATTTCATTTGCCTTAAAAGTTAATTACTTGAATGTTAAAAATGTTTTTTTTTCCTTCACTGGCTTAGTTAAATATCAGAAGAGTTCCTGGGTGCTCCCTCCTTTCAGCAGATATGCATCTTAATCTTTATATAGTAAATTGCTTCTCTTGTTGAGTCCATCCTCACAATGCCTACTTAAATGTGGAACAAAGCAGATTGTGAGGGTGTGTGTGTTACAGCACCACATTGGCTCCTAATTAACTGTGCACTGCTCTTTCAGAGGACAGCCTCATTTGTTCCTACAGCACAGTGATCATTTTTCTGATGGCATGTTTACCCACAAAAAAAGCACATTAAGCTTCTCCGACATGGTTGCATTCTGTCTCAACTTCTTGTTAATGTATTAAGCATTCCTACACAAGGCACTTTGTAAATAACATTGGAGTCTCTTATCCTTTCTGAGTTCTCAGTCCCCACCCCCCCTCTCCAGTCTAAGGTGGACCTGCCAGAGACAGAGCTCAAAGCTGGAGTTGCTCATCAGCACTAGTTTATTCTAAAGCAATACTTACTAACAAGGGGATGGGCAATTAGCAAATCTATGATGGAAAGTACAGTCTGTGATTACTGGCAAGCAGCCCCCCTTTGTGTGCATACAAGCAACAGCTGGAGCTTCAAAATCCAGTTACAGGAACTGGAAGCACCCTTAATTCAAGCCTGAAAGCCACCCCGACCAGCATGAAGGGGTAAGGGAAACGCGTGTAGGGCTCATTAAAGAAATGGGAGGATGAGCCTACGTGAAAACTTGCTCTTCAGAGATGAGACAACTCAGGTACCCGAACCCAACCCTGCAATCCACACAACCCTTTGAGAAATAATCCGAGGACAGTTTATTGCAGAAATTGGACAAGAAAATACAGAACAGGAGGAACCAGGACGACTGTTATGATACAGTATTGGAAATCGCTCAGGTGGTCCGCAGACTGGAGCCCCGGCCGGAGAGACGGTGGGTAACCTGGGACCGCGAGGTGAGTCCGGCTGCTCTCCGGGATCGACTGCTGCTTGAACAGGGGAGGAAAAAAGCGTTTCGCGCTCCAGTACCTGTTGGAACAGTGTCTGGCCTCTCGCCTCTGTCTATACAAAAGTAGCACCATTTTTCGGAAGGCAAAAAAAGCGGTTCATTCGGAGGGAGGCGTTAAAATTAAAAGCATGAGGCTCGCTAAACAGTGTAGACAAGTTGGATCCTCCTACCTCTGAGTTCACCGGTCAGCTCTCCAGTCTCACGCAACACGGGAGCTCTGCGCTTCGGCGTTCGGACGGTTGTAAGGGACAGGAAAGCGGAGACCTGGAGAGGCGAGTATATATAAAAAAAAAAACTGCCGAAACACGACTAACAAACCTGACCAAGCATTCAGACTACAGGTAGCAATGTTAAATGGTAACAGAAAGGATACGTTGCATTCCGTCCCTTTTAGAGGTACGAAAGTCGTTGGTTCAGTTGCAATTCAATCTTGCTTTCAAAGCTAGAAATCATTTTCTAAAACCAATTGTCCGCAACTGTCCTTTTCTTAATTACTCTGGAGCTCACATTCCTCTTCAGTTCTATACTGTTCCTGTCTTAATAGAGGAAATCTTGACCGAAATTCAGCGAAACATCCGGGATTGTGTTTTCCTTAGCAGCGCAAAGCCTCTATTTAAAGGCAAAGACGCACTCCGGCAGCCGGAACCATTTTTAAAGCAGACCAATCGAAAGCTGATACAAGATTAATCAAACCTGGCTTTAGACTTGTAATTATGTAGAAATGCGTAAAACACGGACGGTATCCTGGAGTTAGCCGTCTCCGCCTTCGCAACACGGTCTTTCACAGACAAATACAATATCACTCCATACTTTTAACTGGATGAAGTAACATTATTGAAACTTTAATTTAACACTTACGATTTGTTTTTAATTAAATATACTTTATTCATCACCGGGTATTCAGGTCACGAAGTGAGAAATGAGTGTCAACCTTGCGACAGTGTTTCAGATTTCCTGTCTTTCGATTTTGGATCAAGTAGTAAGAATTACACTGTTGGTATAATTGATATTTGTCTGTTGGATTAATTTGATGATCAATCTCACCATTGATTACTGTACATCGCTCATTGATAATGGTTCCCCAACACATTTCACTGTATAACCTGTGTATACGCTGTAGAACACTGTATAGAATTTGTATGCCTTTTTAAAATTAATCAAAATGAATTTGGAGCTCTCTCTTAGAGATCACAACTGCGAGGTAGTATACTATTGAATATCCGACGGACACTGCTTCCACTAGTTCAATGCCAGAACTCTGATATAACACTATATAGAATTTTAATGACTTTTTAAATTCATTAAAATAAATATGCATCTGTCTCTTAGAGATCACCTTTATGAGTCTTTTATAGACTTCTAAATATCTGCTTCCACTAGTTCAGTGCAAGGAGTATGGTATTCATGGACAACATTTGTACCACCTGCACGTTTTGCACTTGACTACAGTGACGTTCTTATCTAATAGTATATATAATAACAGCATCTCTCGTAGTACAAATGTGGAGCGATGTGATGCACCATTGATTGCAAAACTTGTTATTACGTCTTTATCACAATTCTGTTTTCTTAACCTTATCAAACGCCCATGGAAATATAAATATGTCTTATCGTGACACCTACTGGTATAAAGGATCTAAAGGGATACTCTGTCCAAACGCCAGCTGGGGTATAAAACATTCAGATGAATATATCGCTCATGTAGTAATTGTTTGAATAGAATTAGAATAATTTCAGACATTTTGTTTTAACAAATAAAACATTTTAACCTCTCGGACTTCACGTCTGACACATGACACAAAGGCTTCTCCAATTCTGTGGCAAACTGAATCTCTGATTTTCGCTGTCATTCGAAATGTTAAACAAGTCATGTCCAGTCGCAAAAAGGCTAGAAAATCGCATTATAAAGGCGTCTCAGTAGTCTTAATGTTTGAAAAGCGAGAAAACAGGGGGAAGTGTCTGGTCTCGGAACTGGGACTTGGCTTCAGACTGAATAAGAGAGTTATATGCCCAGTGTGCTGTATGGCCGGCCTGGTGGCTCCGCGGGCTGAACCATCGGACACTTCTAAAGTTCAGAAAGCAGAATGACTCTCAGAGATCAGAGTGAGTTAAACACGAGCCCCGAGCCTCTCCGTCAGTGTGAGATCTTATCCCCGGGTGTAGCTCTCTCGCTGTC